TTTTTGGGGTTCGATTAGATTCGAGACAACAAGGTGATCTGCCTGTACGGAGGGGAGGACATCGACTGGATCCGACGGTTCACCTTATCGGCACGTGCGGCTGCTGGTGCTCTTCAGGTCCCTTTGGAGATGCTTTATGTCGGCAAACGCTACCCGAAGGACAAGGTTCGGAGGTGCCACGAAGTGATTCACCGCGAAAAGCTGAGCCACATTTTCTCGGTCGACTATTACGACTACGTGTGGTTCTTTTGGGTTCGGCTGTGGAGCATGTGGAACTCCAAGAAACAAATAGGTATGACCATCGACAACGATCTCATCATGCAGGAAATCATGGACATCCTCGCCTACGACAGTAGTGAACAAGGATGGGCCGTTTTTAGCCGCGGAAATTACGAGATCACTAAGGCCAACGGGGAGAAGGTATGCGCAGACTTTCATTAGAAAATGCCAAATTTTTAGAAAAGAGTATAAACAAAAGTACAATGTCTCATTAGAGCTGTTAAACGAGATGAGTCGCTCGTGAGCTCGGCTCGTTAAAGCTCGAGATCAAACTTGTTTAATTAACCAGCCGAGCGCGGTTCAACTCGATAAGACTCGAAGAGTTGATTTTTCCATAATTTTTCTTACAGTTCAACTCGTTAATATTGATAAACGATTCAAGATTGAGCTCGATTACTCGTTTGTTAGGTTAACGAGCCGAGTCGAGCTCGACTCCATTATACCCTTGCGTCCGATAGTATAAGTATGCAGTTTTTCTTTCACAATAGAGTCGAGTTCGTTTACACACATGAGTCGAGAGGAACTTGTTTAATTAACGAGCCGAGCGCGAGTCAGCTCAATAAGATTCAAAAAGATGATTTTTATAGAATTTGTACATTTCGACTCGTTAAAGCTCAAATTTGGCTCAGATAAACAAGGATGAATTTTAGTTCACATGAGTATGATCTATCCACCGGCCTAACTGTTAGGCTGACTCACATAAATTTACGTTTATGTCTACGCAGGTGATGCCGGTTTTGGATGGCTACGCAGATTGGGGGTACAAAGTCGATCATCCGGACAAATTCGTGCCGGTGCTTGACGAGCAGCTACGAGATTTCCATCCGGAGCACCATTGCAACCGCCTGATCCTGCCGGGTCAGGCGGGATACATACCCGAAAGGGTGGTGTGTTCCGAGTGCGGCAAGCTCATGGACAAGTATGTCATGTACCGTTGTTGCACCGACTGATGAACACGCGTTTTACGCGCGTGTTTCGTGTTATTTATATATTTTCATGGCGGGAAAATTTGGGTACATTGCATCTTTTAAGTATGATGGTGTTTGTGAAAATCAATAAATCAATGTCTCTATGAATTTTAACTCTTTAGTTTCTGTAATTTTTTTTTTTATTATTATTTTGGTTATCTTTGTTATCAAAAATGTACTTGGGATTTGATTGTGATGATGTGAACGCTAGTGCTTGTTCATCAATAAAGAGCTGCAATTTGCAAGCTTGTTTGTGTAATTTTATGAATTTATTGTCTATTTATTGAAAGTTAGGGAATTAATTTTAGGTGTCTATCATTCTGCACTATCGAGAGTGATTTATAAATTGAGTTGTCGATAATATAAATCATAATCATCTATTACTCTTATCATCATTATAATATTACTAAAATCAACCATTCAAAATTTTGACAACACAATAAGTCAATTGGTAAAAGTATACCAATCTGAAAAGGCATATTTACTCAAAATAGTCTCTAAAGTAACATTCTAGGCTATCACAAAAGCATTGTCTTATATATTCCTGCAGGAAAAAATGCCCAATTCCAATCAAATTTAGTTTTTAAATTGCGTAAAAATTAATTAGTAGTGAACCAAGTTGTGCATCTCATAGTTGTTTGACTAATTTTATTAATCAGGGTCCAAAATTAATGGATCAATATTGCAATTTTCACTTTGGTGGGGAAAAAAATTATACAGACCACCAGTTTCGTACATAGAATATTCAGATACGTACCTTAAACAAATAACATGAGCAAATTTTGCATTATTAATGGTTGTTAGATAAGGGCTGACTTCAAAAACTTCGAACGTCCTTATAGCAAGTGAAAAATCAGGAACTGACTAGCAATAGAATTTTTCTAAGTCAAACTGATCAAATGTTCCTTAATAGCAACCCTTGGACTACATTCAGATGTTCATTTAATTGAATTTATGGTCTATGAATTAAGGGTTTTCTTTATATATCTATGCCTAAGAACAAATTATGAATGCCTAATCAAAACTAAGCTAAATATGAGATTGGGCTATTACTCAGGGTACGAACAAATTAATAAATAAAGGACTATAAAAATCTATTAAATGTATTAATTTGCTTATCAACAAAATTAGCTGTTGAATATTGTGATCTATATTCACAAAGTATAGATAATTAATCTATCTATATACTCGTTTCACATTTCCAGTTTTGTTTCTCCAAGGGTAGTACTATTTACCGCCCTCCTTTTACTAGTCACCGTCCCCTTTGGACGATTTTGTCCTTTTCATTTTTTCTAAGCATCTCATAGCAAAGTGTACGGTGAAATGTCGTCAAATTCCGAGGTACGAAAATTTTTTAGTCTGGCAGGCGAAACCGGACGGTTCAAAAGGCGTCAGGCCGGCCGGTTCGGACGGCAAAGTTCGGCCGGTCGGACAGGCTATGTTCGAACCGGCCGGTCGGATGCCTTAAAAGCTGTCCGGCGGTGACGGACGGTCGAAACCGGTCCGTCCGGTTCGGCCGGCCGGACAATTTTTATTTTTATTTTTAAATTATTATGTTATATATTCGAAATAATTATGTTATAAATTGGACGTTAGATATTATCGTGTTAGGAGATAGAAATGATTATGTTACAATTTAGACTTGATTATGCTATTAATTGGACGTTAGATATTATCGTGTAATGAGTCAGAAATTATTATGTTACATTTTAGATTTGATTATGCTATAAATTGGACGTTAGATATTATCGTGTTAGGAGTTACAAATTATTATGTTACATGTTAGACTTGATTATGCTATAAATTGAACGTTAGATATTATCGTCTTACGAGTTAGAAATTATTATGTTACATGTTAGTCTTGGTTATGTTCAAAATTGGACGTTAGATACTATCATGTTAGGAGTTACAAATTATTATGTTATATGCTATAAATTGGACGTTAGATATTATCGTGTTAGGAGTCACAAATTATTGTGTTACATGTTAGACTTCATTATGCTATAAATTGACGTTAGATAATATCATGTTATGAAGCTATTGAAGTTGCAAAATACCAGACAATACTGAATGATTCCCTATTAGTAATTTTGAGCCACAAAAAGAAAACGGTCAAGTTTTTGAAGTGCCATAGAGGCGAACGCTACGGAGGCAAAGGCGAAAATTCCAGAAAGACAAAAACGAATAAGTGCAATTGTGATTTTGAGATCAAAGTAAAAAAAGTGCTAGGCGAGCCATACTGGAGGATCTGTAGATGTAGCAAGGAAGAGAAGGGCTACCATAACCATACTTTTGTTGTGTATCCTGAGGGTCATCGCCAGTTGAGCGGCCTCAGCGTTTCATTTAAGAATATTGTTCGTGATATGACGGACGCTCAGGTGGCCCCGGCAAAAATTATGGCCACGCTGAAGGAAAAAATTCGGAAAACAACGTTCATGTGCGACAGGTTATATATTTATATCTTGTAATATATGTTTTAATTAACTTTTTGAAGTTAATTATGATAATTAGTAATTTTTTTATATCTAAAAGTTATTGTGATAATAATAAATTTTATTATATTTACTAATGTATTATTATTATGACAATTTTAAACTAATTTATTATGTAACATTACTACTAATTGATTATAACAATAATAAAAATAATTATAATAATTTTCTAACTAATTAATTGTATGGTTCCTCTAAATTACAAAATAATTATACCGTAGTTGAGGAGCAGGCCGATAATACTTTTCTAACAGTACCGATAATTTGATATAATTAAGTAAAAATATTTTATGTTAAACAACAATAAATACGTAAATTATTTACCTGATGAGGATGCAGCGCTACCATAACGCCCCCCAGCCTGTCGTTGAGGAGCAGACTGTGTAGGACGAACAGCCTGTACCGGACGAACATGCTGTAGAACAGGCTGTACAGGAGGAATAGGGTGGCTAGGACCCGTAGGCTGTGCGTGGTCCTGATCATCTGAGAAGTCATCCGTCTCACACTCCTCTGGACCCGGCTCCCTCTCGCTGTACGGCTCATCAGGATACCCCTGCTGACCGTAAGGTAATGGTACGCAAGCGCGAGGTACCGACTTTCCTGCGTGGCGGGGAAAAGCATATCCTCGCTGATCGTACGGCCCTGGTGCTGGGGACATCGAACTGCCTGCCTGGCCAGGATAATAATATCCATGCTCACCGTACGGTAGGACTCCGTGGAGTCGCGAACTATCTGGCTGGCCCTCAAAATGATATCCCTGCGGACCATCTCGTACTGGTGCGGGGGGTCTCGAACTCTGCCTAGCCTGAAGAGTCTGTACCCTTCGAGCCTCATCGATCAACGTCTGTCTGTCCCGACGAACAGACGCATTGACACCCCGACTTCTAGTGTCGGGTGCAAGAACCATCATAATAGTCATCGAACGCCTCGTCGTCGTCCCTGGCATTAGATTGTCCAGGTCTGCTAACACCCTGAATCAGAAATATAATTATTAAATTTTTCCATATGTAATAACTATTAAAATATATTATAATTTATTTTTATTTTGATTATTATTATTATTATAATTTATAATTGTTATTATAATTATTATAACAAATTATTATTATAATTATTATAATTAATAATTATTATTATTAAATTATAATTATTATAATTAATTACAATAATTAAAATTATGAGAAATTATATTTAATTATAATTAATTTTCTTATAATTAATTATAATTATTATAATTAAAATTATAAGAAATTATAATTATTTTCATTATTATAATTATTATAATTTATTACAATTATTATAATTGTTATTAATTATAATTGTTATTAATTATAATTATTATTATTAATATTTTTATAACTTATAATTAATTACAATTTATTCAACTTATTATTATTATAATTTANCGAACGGCGTAAAAGCCGTGCGTCTGACGGGGCCGAACGCCTTCTCCGCCGTCCCGGACCGACGACCGAACGGCGCCGCCGCGTCCGGAGGCGGCGTCCGGAGATGGCGGCCGAAAGCGGCTTCAGATTCAAAAAAAAATTTTAAAAAAAAATTTCGCACGTAAAAAAAAAATTACCTTGCTAGAGAAGAATGTTTTGTCGAGATCGTAGGATTTTTTCAACATTTTTTCGGATTTATTTCGGTGCTCGAATCACTCGTTGAATGTTCGGGAATTTAGAGAGATAGGGTTTAGAGAGATAGAAAGACGAAAAGAGTTAAGGGCAAAAGAGTAAAAGGAGATGGCGATCGACTAATAAAAGAGGCGGTAAATAGTAAATGAGCTCTTTAGATATGGTTTTAATAAGATTTGGCAGGCCTAGAATTGGACTTTGTTGCTTGCAGGAATCAAGAATTCGACAGTGTAACATATTATGATTAAAAAATACAATAAAATTGATATGAAAATAAATAAATAAATTGGGTGGGTAAAGATGAGGTGTCATGTCCAAATACTAGCCAATCTTTGTCCTTGAGGAGATTGAAATTTCAAGGATCTTATTGGCTTGAAACAGGAAGGATTTTTATTGGTTATCTTTTGGCTGTTTTTCTTTGTCCTAAGCTCAAGAATACAATTTTATAATATGGTAAATTTATTATGCATTGATGTGGGTGACATAAAAGGTGTAAAATTAGTTCCTTTCTCATTCAGCCCCAACATTTTCCTTTGTGCATGAGCAAGTTGACAAGTTGGGGCATCTAATAAAATTATATTATAACACAAATTTTAAAATATTGTCCAAGTTGTGAATATATATAATTATGTATGTCCGAATCATAATAATTTCTCCTATTCATCCCTAATCACTTATTCAATCATCCAACTTTTTCTTAAAAAAAATGAAATAGAATATGTATATGATGTGTATGTATAATTCTATCAATCCTTTGCAATAGTTTTGTTGCCTTGTTGGCATGTATTTTATATTTGTAACTTGCACTAATTAATGACTTTTGACTCATTGTTAAATGTGGATTACAAATTAA